CTTGCCTCATAAAATGAGTTTGGAAGTCTTTCATCTTCTTGAATTTTTTGAAATCGTTTGAGGAGAATGGGTGTTAGTTCTTCTTTGAATGTTCGGTAAAACTCCCTCGTGAAGCCATCGTCGGGTCCTGGGCTTTTCTTTGCTGGGAGAGTCTTGATTACATCTTCAATTTCTTCTGTTGTTATTGGTTGGTTCAAGTTTTTTATCTCTTCCCGGTCCAGTTTTGGGAGACTATGTGTTTCTAGAAAGTTGTCCATTTTGCTTAGACTGTCGAATTTATTGCCATATAATTGTTCATAGTAGTTGTTGACAATCTTTTGTATTTCTGTGGTGTGAGTTGTTACTTCTCCTCTTTCATTTCTGATTTTGTGGAACTGGGTTCTATCTCTTTGTTTCTTGATGAATCTAGCTAATGGTCCATCAGTCTTGTTTATCTTTTCGAAAAACCAGATCTTTGTTTCATTGATCCTTTGAATTGTTTTTTTGGACTCTATGTCATTTATTTCTGCTCTAATCTATACCATTTCCTTCCTTCTACTTGCTCTAGGGTTTTCTTTTTGTTTGCTTTCTAGTTCTTTAAGTTTTGAGGTTAGGTAGTCTATTAGAGATTTTTCTTGCTTCTTGAGGTAGGTGTGTAGTGCTATGAACTTCCCTCTCAGAACTGCATTTGCTACATCCCATAGGTTTTGTGTTGTTGTGTGTTCATTTCATTGGATTCCAGGAAGCTTTTAATTTCTTCCTTTACCTCCTCATTGACCCATTTGTTATTTAATAGCATGCTACTTAGCTTCTCTGTGTTCAGAATTCTTTGCATGTTCTTGTTGCAATTGATTTCTTGTTTCATGCCATTGTGATCTGAGAAGATGCTTCATATGATTTCAATCCTCTTAAACTTGTAGAGACTTAGTTTGTGTGCTAACATGTGGTCTACCATTGAGAATATCCCATGTGCACTTGAGAAGAATGTGAATTCTGTAGTTTCGGGGTGTAATTCTCTGTAAATATCTATTAAATCCATTTGGTCTAGTTTTCTTTCACTATTTATTCAAATATATTCCCTAACCCTTGCTCAATTTCTTCTTCTTCGGGGACTCCTGTGATGCGAATGTTATTGTATTCTCATTGTCCCATCGTTCTCTTAAGCTCTCTTTCTGTTTTTTCATTGTTTTTTCCTTTTGGTTTTCTGATTGGTTGATTTTTTCTATCCTATCTTCTAATTCACTGATCCAGTCCTCAGATTCCTCTACTCTGCTATTTAGACCTTCCAATGTGTTCTTTATTTCTGATATGTCATTCTTCATTTCTTCTTGGTGGTTTTTAATTTCCAACTGGTTGATTTTCAACATTTCCATGTCTTTACTTGCGGTGCTCATGTCCTTACACACGCTGTTGAGCTTCCTAAAGTTCATGGCTCTGAATTCTAGTGCTTTTAACTTGCTTAACTGCACCTCATTTACCTCATCTTTGGTAGAGGTCTCTTGTTCTTTCATTTGCCTTTTGTGTCTGTGTTTTACCATTTTGGCTATCACAGTGGGCTTTGGAGCCTGCCAAACTTTCCCTGTGGGTGTTGGTGTACTGCTGTTTGTGGCTTCCTCTCCTGGGTTTGGATGAGGCATGGAGGATCCATGTTAGACTCCACTGCCAAGTCTTACTTTCCTGGTTACAGTTGCTAGCCCAGGGAATGGTCCAGTTATCCTCTAGCTTTTTGCCTGGAGGCTATTAATAGAGGTCACCTAAGAACTTTGGTTTCTGATTTGAATGAAAAACTCCCTCAGGTGCTCAGTGTAAGAAGATTTTCTGAGGGTGGGGCAGATGCTGGTTGTTAATGGGCCTCAATTAGCATTGCAATGACCACCAGGTGGGGTTGAATCTCCGAGGGAGGGGCCGCCGCATCTCCCCAGGGCCCTGGGAAGGAGTAAGATGATCACAGTCCTGTGTGGCTGCAACTCAGCAAAAGTTCTGAGCATCCTCCAAATCACGAGTGTCCCCACACTGTTCCAGTCCAGTCTGCCCTCCCTCTGCTGGAGCCCAAGGTGAGTGGCTGCTGCTATTTTAGCCTCTGTCCCGACTCTGCACTGGGGAGCTGCTTGGGAGTTTAACCTGTTGGTGCCACTCCCAGCTAAGGCTGTCCATCCACGCCGAGTCCACTGCTGCTCCCAGCCGAGGCTGCAGCTTCCAGCCAAGGCTGCTGCCGCTCTCAGCCAAGGCCGCAGCTCCCAGTCAAGGGCGTAGCTCCCAGCCAAGGTCGCTGCCCTCCCAGCTGAGGGCACAGCTCCCAGCCAAGGTCGCTGCCCTCCCAGCTGAGGGCACAGCTCCCAGCCAAGGCCGCTGCCGCTCCCAGCCGAGGGTGCATCTCCCAACTGAGGGTGCAGCTGCCAGCTGAGGCCGCTGCCCACCGTCAGCTCCCAGCCCCCTCTCCTGTCTCCGCAAGCCTACAAGGATTGAGTTGGTGTCACTGGTTACGTGGTCCTCCAAGCTGCTTTTCGGTTGCCTTTTCCTGACGATTTGTCTTTATTTTTGTTGTAATTCCAGTTTGGTCCTGGGAGATGATCTGTGTAGCTTCCACTCACTCCACCACCATTTTTCTGTCTGGCTCCATAAATTCTTTGATACTCCTCGCTGCAGGAAGTGGAACCTGATACCCCTCTCCTTGAATGTAGGCTGGACTTTGCTACTGCTTCTAATAATCAGACTACAACAGATGTGACAGTTTGTAGCTTTGGAGAGTAGATCATAAAGGCACTACATTGTTCTTGTTCATTCTCTTGAATCACTCAGTCTGGGAAAAGATCCTGCAACAGCTGTCTTGGAAGTGGATTCTCCAGTCCCAGTTGAGCCTTCAGATTACTGCAACTCCTACCAACACCTTAATTGCAAGTATAGGACAGATCCTGGGCCAGACAGAACCATGCAGCTAAGCCACACAAAAATTCCTCACCCATAGAAACTGTGAGATAATAAATGTGTATTGATTAAGCCACTCAGATTTGGGGCAATTTGTTTCATAGCAAGAAATAAGTAATACAGGTTAGAAATCCAAGAAATAGCCAATGATATTTCCCCAAAAAATAATAAGCTGAGTGATTATTGCCAGACTTTATGTTCTTAATGAAGTGTTTAAAATCCATTTTTATAAGACCTTGCTTATAGTCTGTACAATTTTCTTTTCTTTTTCTTTCTTTTTAAAATATGTTTCTATTGATATTTTTTAGAGAGAGAGAGAATCATCGATGTGAGATAGAAATATCGATTGGCTGCCTCCTGCATTTCCCCTATTGAGGATCAAGCCCGCAACCCAGACATGTGCCCTGACAGGAAATCCCACTGGGACCTCTCAGTCCATGGGATGACACTCAATGCACTGAGCCATACTGGCCAGGCAACAATTCAATTTTCAATACAAGTGTTAAAATGTAGGTCTTTGTAGTTTGAGCAATATGAATTTGTTTAGATAGATTCATGTGCTATTCTGTACACTTAACCAAAATATTACCAAACACATGCATTTTTTATTCCTTCAGTAAACTTTACCTAAATGCCTACTGGATCTCTAGCACAATGCTGAATGAAATAGTGCTCTTATGCATCTAATTATTCATAAGCATTACTTGAGCATCTACTAGGAGCCAGGCACTATGGTAGGCAGTGAGGATACAAAAAGAAATATGATATCTGGACCCAGTATTTAGTTGGGGAAGTAGACAGGTAAATACATACTTTATGCATGCTATGATATTACAGAGAACAGAACAACTATCTTTTTAAGGTATTGAAGGAAAAATAGGAGTTTTCAGGCAAAGAACAGTGGTTCGTTAGAAGGGAGACATTCCAGGTGCAGGAGATCAGCATGTGAAAACACATGTAAGTATGAAAAGCCTGAACTGCCTCTTCACAGTTTAGTTCCTTCTGCCTGAGAATAAAGAGATTATTGGTGACATGCATCCTTCTAGCATTGTAAAGCCAGCATGACAGGCTGTTTTTCTAGACCACTGGAATTTCAAAGCCAGTAGGCTGCTCAAGCAAATTGAAATAAAGAGAAAGGGTGCTTGTACTCTCTGCTTCAAGGTGCTCAAACTAGAATTCTCATGGTAAATACTGAGCCTTGGGAGGATAATTGTGTAAGTTCTTCTGACCATTTAATTTCCTTACCTTGAAGAACTCAAATTGTCTGTGCATGAGTCTACTAAGCTCCCAAACTTAGACTTCTGTGGCCTTTTGCCTTTTAGATCAATGTCACTCAAACTGTGGATACAAAACTTCATACCAGAACATAAACCAACATATTGCTGCCTTCATCAGTAAAATCATGCTATGAAAAAAGAGTCAGCTGAAGTAAATGGTTTTCTCAGTAGCATGATTTACATTTGGCACAAGCTCCTAATCTCATCATAGAGTGATAAATTGTTCATGGGTTGGTAGTGATCCATAGACCACATTTTTTAGATCACTTACTCTCCACTAGATAAAATCCTATATAAAAAATCTCTTTGTTTCCTTTGAGAACTTGGCCTATAATTTTATTTCTAATTGTGAGAATAATGCAATTTATCTTGTTTCTCTTTTTGTTCAAAGTCAAATTTGAACCTCAAGTGCATCAATTATGTTACCATTTTTAGGTAGCATTTTTAAGTTCCTGTTTTTGTTTCTGATTTTTTATTTCAAATTTATGGTTGACAATTATTTTATTACTATGCTTTTGCTGGGTGATGTTGAAGATGATGACAATGAAGACAACCACAACAATAAGCATTACAGCAAGCATGGCAAAATAGAGCAGATTTCTGGTTTGCATCCACTTGAGTAGAATCAGGGTTGTGGATGTGTCTCCATGACTCCAAACAAGATTGACTGTTTAGTCTCTGAATTCATAGAACTAGTATCATGGGGACACAATGGTGTTCATGAGGGACTCACTCCTCTTCATGCAGAGGGTACTGGTCCCTGTAAATAAAATCATCATACACAGTTAGGAGAAGAACACTCACCGTCTTGGTCGTTACCTGAGTCAGCTGGAGACTTGCTCCGGCGCATAGGGCCAGGGCTCTTGGCTGAATTCTTCTGAGGCATTGGGGATGCCTTGGGACCAGCTGTGGCTGAAGGGTTTCCTTTCATGACTCGGCATTCTAGTGGAAAAAGACACAGACAGTTTACTAGACCCAGGGAGAACTGAGGCTCAGCATATTAACAACCTCTGGAAACTGAAATAGCATCCACAGGTCAAAGCACCTAATGTCTCAGGACCAAAAGGTGGTCTTCAGTTTTTGCAAAAATTATGTCTCTGTGGAGGGAGGCACGGGAGAAACTTTCAACAGTCACCTGGGCTAAACCAGGTATTTACATCCCTGGATTATGGAAACAAGGAAGATAGTTAAAAAGCAGTTTGGATATGTAATTAATCAACTCAATCATTTATGGACAAACCAGTCATGTCTCAGAATATCACCTGTTGACATAATTAAAATCTTTGGAATGACAGTGTAGAGGTTGCAATCACACAGACAAAACATTTACAAGTAATGAAAGGAGTGGGAGTGAGCTACCATTTATTGTTTATTGCATGTCATATATTGCAATAGGCATACATTTATAGAGTTATTTCTTAGTTTAAATGTATGTATGTTATCATAATCTCCTCTGCTGATTTAATGACTAAATGGGCCAGCAGTGACTCTGCCACTTGGAACTTATAGAAAGTTCATGGGTGTGTAGAAGAATCTGCCAAATGGTTCTGCTGCTGCCCAAACTCTAGTCTGACACGTTTGGAGCACAATTTCTATTCAGGTCACTCAGTATCCTTATTATGGCAATTTGGGGTATTGGTTGTGCTAATGCATTAGGAGGAGTATTATATTAATTTTATGATAAGAATTTAAAAAAAGCTTAAGCCTCTTGCTTAGGGCAATAAAGCAAGAAAATAGCAGAATAAGGACTAACAGCAAGTCTTCTGAGCAATACTCTAGTGCTCTTTCTACTTTATTTTATAGATTTTTCCAACCTTGTGCTACTCAAAGTAGAACCAAACAACTTGATAAAGGTTTGTTTTTTGTTTTGTTTTTCCCTTTGGACATCTGCTTGTCAGCTTCTACTTAAAGACACATTGAAATATCATTTACCCAGAAAGAATAGGGATCTTTTCTGGTAAATTAAGTTATTTTAGGAAACTCAGTTAAACATAAAGCTCATTTTTGTTGATTTTTCTTCTTGTTTTGGTTGATGAACTTCAATTGTCACTGCCCAGAAGTGGAGATTTAGAAGGTATAGAAAAATGGGCATAGCCTGAAATTTGTTTAGCTATTTTAAGGTCATTAGCTTCTTCTCAAAGGAAACACAGCAGAACTGTCACTTATTTCAGGGTCCTTGTTATTTAAGCTGTTTGTAAAGTCTATATCAGTGCAACTCGGTTTTTCTCACACTTTATTCCTCATAAGTGGAAAATGTCTTTTGATTGTGTATTTTTATTAGGATCATTTCCTAAACCTGATGCTGTGTGAGCTAATTCACCATTAATTTACACCTGGAGCTTAGACTCAGCAAAGGGCAATGGGCAGATGTTTCATCTCCTTCCAGAGATTAACAATCCTCTGGACCCTTGAGTTAAAAAGCAGAGGGAATGAGGCAGCAAACCAGAGGTAGAAAAAGGAGAAATAATTTTATAGTATGAAATGGGAAAATCTTTCTAAGATAGAATCATCAATATCGGCCAGTTTGCTAGAGGAAGCTGACTAAAAAAAAAAAAAAATATGCATAGAATATATAAATTGACCCAAAATGTTATTTCACATGGTCTGATTGTACCTGTCAGCCCATGTGACACAATATATGGTTTAAGAAATATGGCTACTGTTGTTGTACAGAGTGAGTTTTATGGAGTTTGGAGGGTGAGCATCTAGGACATCCAATCAACCTTTCATTTAGTGACTCATGTATCCAAACATACAAAAGAAAGACCAACAATATTTACCCTTGAAAAACCATGAATAGATGTGCTCCAGGCCATATGAATCCCTGGAAATCCTAAGGGATAGAGGAGAGAGAACAATGGAGGACTAAAATCAAGTGGCTGTGCTTACCATTTTCATCCAGAGAAAAGTCATCTTGAGCATAGCGAAATTTTTCAGGACCACAAGCAATAAATACATCATCATCACCAAAGAAGTCATGGAGACAGGTTACCTATGAAGAAAGCAGAATCATTGGATTGCTATTTGATGGTCTTATGACAATGAAATTCCCACCATATTGACCAAGAAGGAAATCACATCTAAGCCATTATCTCTAGCCTCCTAGCCCCTAGGGATCTTCTTTTTTTTTTTTTTTTCAAAATAGTAGGCTCATAGTCTGTACCACAGCCCCTAGTGGGTAAAGATATACTGAGTTCTATTGTCTTTCCATGTTTCATGGTAGCCTTGTATCAAGAATAACTTTGGAACAATGTCCAAATGGAATGCCCACCCTCTGAACAAAAGTCTACAAGCAGATGGCCCTATATATGTTACTTGTTCTTAGAACCTCAAAGACAACATGCTCCTAACTTAACACTGGGGCCAGGAGTCTGGGAAAAGGGTCTAGGCCAAGGCAAATGAGAAAGATCTTCTGCAGCATGTGGTGGATAGACCCTGTGACTGACTGGGAGGTGGAGGTTCCTCTCTGATCTTCATTAGTTTTAAAAGAAGGACACCAATTTTTAACTTCTTTGGACCCTAAAAACTGAATTTTTGCTAAAAAATGGACACAACCTGGTCAAGGCAGAGAATAGCATTTGTTCCTGAAGAACAAGGAAGGGAAAACTATCCTGACCACTTAAAACCTAATCAAGAGCAATGGATCCCCATAAGCTTGAGGTTCTGCTGGTAAAGCCCTGTTCCCAGGATCCTTCCCTCCCTTTAGTACCCTGTGCACTGCTGCTTGTCCAAAATAGAGAGATTGTCTTCCCAACGCCTTTTCTGCACAAAGCAAAAAGGGTCCCTGGGAAAATATGCTGCTCCCTGCAGTATCCCCAATTCTCAGCTTTCCTAAGTAAATCTGATAATTAGTTCAGCACACTAGAGAAACCCCAGGAGAAACCATAAAGTCAATATGTTCTTATCCCAATCCATAGGTTGAAAGTGTTCAAAGCTTCTAATTGTTCTAAGCTACCCATTTAAGCTGCCAGCAATTACTATCCAAAGGCACAGTGCTCACAAACTAACAATGGCTTGCTGGGTACAATATGTTACATTTGAAAAATGTTTATAATAACATTACTCCCCACCTCGAGTCCATTCAATTCCTGTTCCCTCAGTCAAGCCTTATACAAAGCAAAACATGCATAAAGATTATCCCCATTTTCTCAGCCTCACAATCATCTAAGAGACTTGGAGGCCTGCCGGGGTCATTCCTATTAAACTTCTTCCAGCCCTGGATTCTGACCTCATCAAATAAGCCAACATCGTTCTTCAGCCCACTTGTCCCTCACTCATTCATTCATTCCACAATCATGTAATGACAGTTAGAGCTACCACTAATTGAATGCTTACTCTATGAGAGGCACTCTGCTAAGTACTTCTAAATCTGTCATCTCATTTTACTCTCACAACAAATCCTAGAAGTCAGTATTATCATCTTCACTATTGTACAGATGAGAAAACTGAGGCCCAGAGACAATAACTAAATTACTTAAGTGGAATGTGATGAAGCCAAACAAATGCAGATCTGTCTGACTCCAAAGTTATGCTTTTGGCCACTCAATAATTCAAAGCACTTATGGATTGTTCAGGCACTGACGAGACAAAGATGAATAAGACTCAGGCCATGACTTCATGCAGCTTACAATCTGATGGAGTGAAATACATTGAAACAGAGGATTTCAAACAGTGCTATGGTGGAAGGATATGTAAGTGCCATGGGAGATATTTAGTACCACGTGCAAGTGAACCAGTCACTGGCTGGTACTGTTAGTTCAATAAGCATCCTGCATATTGTCCTAGAAGCTGATCCAGTGACAGAGGCTACATGGCTTCGAATCCTGCTGCACACTTCCACTGACATCTTGGGCCTTGGCTTAATAAAATCTGGCGCCCCTAATTTGGGTACATTATATGTCTCTGAATTGTTTACTCCCTGACACTTTCTTGACCCTGAGAGGTTGACCCTGACGGGCTGACTTTAGTTTTCTTTATAAATGAGGAAAGCCTCGCACTTGAGTATGCCTCCACTAGTAGTCTCTTGGATTTAGTACTTTCTTTCAAGACCTGGCTGTATTTTCATACATACTCATCTAGTTTTCCCCAATAGATTACAGGTTCCCTGAATATAAAAACCAAGTTTATCCTTCTCTCTGTATCTATCCATGGTCCCTGGTAGAGTACTTATCACATAGTGAGAATGTAGCCAGGACTGTTTTTGTCTCAAATGTGAAAAAAAAATGGTGGGGGGTTGTAAGGATATACAAAGGTAGAAATGTAGAAACAAGAAAGAAAAAATCAGTTGTGACAGACAATAGAAACCAACATTCAAAGGTTTTGAAAGGTAACAAATATATACATGTAGGAATAAGAAAGGAACAATGACTGTAAAGTCAGAAGTTATTCTTTGCATAACTATGCCAACTAGCTTGAAAACTTAGATGAAATGGATGATTCTTAAAAGAAAACCTAAATAATGAAATTAACTCAAAAAGTAATAGAAAACCTCAAACACCTAACTACTAACCATAAAGATAATGTAGTAAATACTTCAAACAGCAACATTTCATCAAAAGGCACCAGAACATTCATTTTGGAGATATTTTTGGAAATTGCTTCCCAAGAAGAAAAACGAAAAGCTCAAAATCAGCCATTGCAGTGACACACCATGATATCCTATTGTAGGACAACAAAGCCTTCACATATTGCTTAGGGGATGGAGTTACAATGACTTACCATCCTCTAACCCCAAACCTCTCTGCCCCCAACAAAGCTTTGGAAAAGCCTTTGGATAGCACCTCCTTTGGGGATCTTCTAAGAAAATCAAAACCCATTATGCTTCTCACAAACTCACAATGGTGGGGCTGGCTTCAAACACATTCATTTTGCAATCCAGCTGTTCAGCATCAGATTTCTTGTGTGATCCCACCCCACATTTTACTGGCTCCCAAATGTAGACAATTCACATTGCACATGTGAATACCCAGCTATCCCACATGACTTGGATACTGAAACACAACATCCCCCCTCCACTTTATTATAGAGCTCTCCACCTTAAATATGAGGAACCCAAAATACTGAGTCAAAGTGGCCCACAGATGCACAGGTGGCTCATAACTGAATGGAAAGTAGCATTTAGGTCCTCATTCGATTCAGGACAAAACAATTAAATTTTCTGATAGAATACGCCTTCCAAAAGCCCTGACTCAAAGGATTTGTATATAGCCTAGACAGGAGAGTCCCTATTTGTCCTAATCATTGTCTTATACTCATTAGAACATTTTACTGTGTTGAAAAAAGAAAGTATCTTTACAGATCTTATTTTTTTATTGATGAACAAGAAAACTCCTATTCATTACTATAACTGGAAAATGAATATGTGGTGGAGAAGGGGGACAAAGAGAAAGAGGGTGAGAAGAAAGAGAAAAAAGAGGGAAGAAGGAAGACAAGAATGGAGTGTAAGAAATTATTCCCAAATGAAACTTACACTTACCCACATGTTTTTTAAAATTCCATGGAAGTAATGCAACACGAAGTCCAACTTAGTTTATGTTGCAAATTTATAATTTCAAAATTAATTCTCTGAGATAAAATGTCCATCATGAGGTGGCAACAGAAGTGATAAAAATAATAATTATTATGATACTACTCACAGCATCCTCAGAGAGGAATACTATTGCTGACATCAGCTTTTCTATGAGTCACACTTGAGTATTCAAGTCAGGGACAAGAAAACAAAAGCATGACACCTGTCTTTGTAATTAATCAACTGCCAGCAAAAAATCAATAAAATCAATGTGCATTAACATCGAACCATTAAATCAATGTCCTCCCTTTAAAAAAATTAACAGTTATTGGGGTAAGAGAAGCTACCTTGATTGTACATTAGTGTGAACAATAGATTATATGGACCATCCAGTGCCTTAAATGTCAAAGTACAAATGGGGAAATGAAGACAACAGATCACTGTCTGACAGTAGTTTTGAGCTTATTAGCTGCAAATGGAAAATTCACTCTGACTTGATTTAACCTTGAATAGATTCTCCATCTAGATACTAGCACTTAGTTCTCATATGTGTCTATTGTTGGTAGATTTAGATTTTACTATCTAATTTTTCAGAAAGAAATGTTATCTCAGGAAGTAAGGTGTTGCTTGTATATCTATTATACTCACTTTCAACAGGCAAAATATTTCCATTGAAAGGTCCATCCCACTAATATTCATTCATTAAGTGCTATGGCAAAAGAACTATGTGAGAAATTCAGAAATGTACGAGAAAAGGTCTCTGTCTTCAGAGGTGACAATATAATAAGCAAGTTAGCACCACAGAAATAATTGGAGCACAAGGCAGACTGCTGTTAGCACAATTACAGAGGCACAAAGAGAACAATTCTAATCTTAAAAACTGGGGAAGGTTGCACAGAGATGATGCAAAATCTGAATCTTGAATGATATATAGGATATAGGCTGATGAAAATAGGAGTAAAGAGTATTTCAGGTAACTGCATAAATAAGAACAGAAAAGCAAGAACATGCCCTTTTTCTTAATAGCACTGGAAAAACAAATGGCCTCTTGTCGACTATAGTCACAGAGATTCTAACTTTCCAAATCACAATTGCCCAGACCCATCTGCTAGCCTTCTGCACAGACAAAACAGACAGTTGCCTACTGGTGAAATTCACGGTGAAAAGAAGGGCAGAGAGTGTCTATAGGTAGAGAAGTGGCCCCAGTGGTAACAAAGAGGGAAACTTGTGGCAAGGAAAACAAACCACACTGATTTCCCAGTCTTGTCAACAGTGTGTCCTGCCCATAGAGTGGCTAGCAAGCCTTGTAAAATAAGTTAATGAAAGATTCAGTAAATATTATGGATGAGCCTTTTTCTACTGTGACTCTGGAATATTTCCTGCTTGCCAGCCCTGGATGGATGTGATCCAGCCAGAGGTTGGCATAGGGTTGGCTTGAGGAACTTGGGCAATGTTTTTGAGATAGCCCTGGAGTTTTTATTAAA